TGGGTCAGTGACCACTCATAAAAAGTTGCTTGTACAATTATTTATGTATGTATATTACTTTTAAATATGTAATTAAACACAATATTAGTTGTTTATTATTCAATAAAAACAAATTTGAGATACCTATAAGTTATATGTTAAGTCGTATACTTATATCTAATTATCTTAGATATTTTTGTAATATTTCAATTCAATTAAAATTATCTATTTATGAATAAAAATATACACCAAACAAGTTTTAAATAACCCTGAATACTAAAAATAGAACGATTTGATATTTCAAATTCTAATTTTAACATCTAAAAGTGTCATTATTTAAAATTATTAAAATGCAAGTTCTAAATAAGTATATCGATTGCATTTGAAATTAAATTAAAAATAAACAAAAGACTAAAAATTCAACGAAAATAAAAATCGCTGTTAAAAAATTACATTTAATTTAAATGTGGAACGTAAAAAAATGGCAATTAATTCCCGCCATTCATTGTACACACACATCCGTCATTCGCGCTTGCTCGCGACATTGACAATGGACGGTTTGGACTTGGTATGCGGCCTTGGAGCAAATTCGGCGCTCGGACGGGCGCGGGAAACGAGATCGGGTTTTTTATAATCGATATTAGACGTGTGGAATAGATTATTCGATTTGACGTGCAAAATATATTCACTTGAATCTACCAAGCGTTAAGGGAAACTATGTATTATTATTTCTATAAAGATATCTTAAATTAACTTCGGTGTAGGCATTTGATTTTCATTTAATTTATAATAAATCGGGAATATTTTAAATAATTAGATTAAATTAAATATGTAACTGGACGTGTTCTGTTCTTAATTGACACTTATGTCACGGTCGAAATATCAGCTATTTTAAGGAGTTCAATTACTCGTTAATAGTGAGAAGCAAAATTTTGAAATTTTGATTTTTTTTTAAATAGGTACTGTCTGTATTGTAAGTCATATAGTTATTTAGAGTATTAAATTTTGCAATACAAATAAACATTAAGAAAAAAAAATTGATTTTCATTTTTTTTTCAATAGTAGGTATATTTTACTCAATGTTTTTGTATATATGAGATTAATTTATTTGAAAAACATTACCGATTTCATGAATACCTAAATACTGTGACACCATTTGTAATTCAAGCAAAAAAAAGGCACGATTTTCATAGTTTTCTTTAAACAGATGAATTAATATATGTGATAAGGAGCGTCCCAAGGTTAAAAACAAAATTGAGAGTCAAATTTTTCTGTAAAAAAAAATAATGATTTCGGGGTCAGACATTGAAAACGTAAACAGAGTAAACCTGAAAGAATACATAAATAATATTCTACATAATGTTTTCACGACATTGAATATAAATTTGCAAAAATAAATTTCGACGATGTCTGTAACAATTTGACGTTTTCAGTCAGATAGTCAGTGTAGCCAGTAACTAAGTGAATATCTGATTTAATTTATAATATTTGTATCTATAAAATACATACCTACATAATTTCAAGCTTGTCTCCTATGGGGGTAGGCAAAGACTATGGAACGCCAATTACTACGATACGTACAACAGTCATCAACCTTTTCATGCATGCTCGTCGGTTAAGGGTACTTTTAATTTGACCTTTCTTTAATATATCGCTAATCTGATCAGTATATGTACGTCTAGGGCACCCTCTACCGAGCGAACGGTCCCATTCATATCCGCTCTGTAGATATACTACTTTTTGTAAAACGTTACAGTTCTGAATTGGCGTTACAAGTATTTACCGATCTTCATTAATTCTGTTTGATAAAATTTCAATTCTATTTATAGGTAGTCATTGTCTAAAATTTATTCGCACTGGTATTTATTAATAGGTTTTTATCTATTGTTATTTGAAGTAGTATAGATTACAAAATGTGTTATTTTTAACATTTTAAATGAAGTTTGGTAATGACTTAGTATAAGGAATAATTACAAAATAGGTACCTGTTTTTGCTTTTTTGTGTTGTATTTGTTATATTATCATTTTTTTTATTTTGGGTTTTTGGTTAAAACTAACATATCAAACCTATTGTTCCTTATAACTATTAACACATACTAATACTTATCCTAGCTGTTTATAAATGAACATTTATAAATGTTATGTTATATATATAAGACTATATATTTCGGTGAAAAAATGTTTAAATGTCTTTATGCTATGCTATGCTGATGCAAATGGAAACGTAACCTTGAAAATAATTCGATTCCTGGTAATCCTGTCTACAAGATAACGTGAGTTTATTCAATCGAATATTGATGGCGACATTTTTATCTTATATTGTAGATATCGAGTTTATTTAAATTTTCCAATACAGTAGACTGCCATAATTTAACCATTTCTTTTTTATTAATAAATATCTTGTTGGATAAAGCAAACTAATAAGATTGGTTTCCAAGCGGAAAAATTTAATGTAATTTTCTAACAAAAAATTCTAATCGGAAAATATAAGTATGTTAAAAATATTCTGTAAACGTATTTATTTTATAAATAATAAATAACAGATTAATATATTTACAAAACCATTAATTTTATTTTCAAAACATTAATTAAAAACGTAAAAATAAGGAAACAAAATTTAATATAAGAAAATAAATTTTTGAAAGACCTAAACAAACGCGGATAGCAACATATAAGGTACACGAGTAAGTGAACTTACATAATAGTATCCGAGGGTTGCTTATCAACGTCCTTGTAACCGTTTGGGAGGCTACCGGGTCACAAGTTATCGTTACTTAGGCCAAAGCTTATAAGGAATTACTTAATTGAATGTTTCAGGAAATATGACGGCACTTCTGTTAGTATTTACAATTATTTATAATATTTACGAAACTATATTATTGTCTCATTAAAAAAAATGGGTACAATATCTTTAAAATGGTATGTGAAGGCATAAAAATACACAAAAGCATATATAAGTAAGGTAAAAAGAACGAAGTAGATATGAGTAAAAAAAATTTTTTCGAAAAAAACAAATATCGGTCAAGTTCGGTATTAAAGTTTACCTACATATGGAAAAAAAAATCACGTGGTAACACATTCAGTATCGTCCTTCTTTGATTAACATAAGATAAAGGGCAATGTTTTTTGCATGTTTAAAAAACAGTAGGTACAGCTACTGACAGTGTAGGTCAGATTTCGAATTAAATCATTAAAGAAACTGATTTTTGAAACGTCTGAAAAAGTATTGATAAATGATTTAATCTGAGCATTGAGCAACAAAATTTATATTGATGAAACAAAAACTATAATACTATGATATTCTGTTGTCAACAGATATCCCTAGCAGAGCAAAGCAAGCAGCAATATTTGTATATATTTCGTAAAAATCTAAACCAAAGATTTAGATATTATCATCCCGGAAAACGTAATAATAAATACCAAATTCATTAAACCACACCACACGGCTCGTTATCTATGTAATTGCATTAAAAAAACAACCATCAATGAGTTTTATGCCACTGCCGACTGATTCGACCTTGACTAGTTTCAAGGCTCATCCGTACTCATCTATCTTCTAAGAGAATCGACTTTCATTCAACGAATAAATATAATTATATATATGTAAGTATTTAATTATTATACAATGCATGAAATGTATGCCAACATTTAAAAAAATCCATTAACATTTTCAATTAAATTTTATTTGAAAAGAAAATAAATTAAAAAATGTTAATATTTATGGCTGTGTCATTATTATTTAGGTGTCTGTCTATACGGTTATGCAAATGCTATTGTTTCAGAATATTAACATAAACTAAACGTATACAGGTTCTCCGTGAGAATGTGTCGCCGAATTTACGTTTCGATATACATATTAACTAAAATATAGTTTAATATGAGTATAACGATAATTAAACATTACATTAATTAATGATTCAAAAATTATACTTTAAGTTAAGTAAAATAAACAATCGTATATTTAAATATATACAATGTATATTTTTGCAGTAAAAAATAAAGATTGTTGACGGAAGATGCAAACCCGGGAAAAATACTAGTCTCAAAAGACCCACATATTTGAACATTACTAATAAAAAAAAATGTTATATTTACATAGATAACAAATGCAGATTACAAACGCCACGTGTAGAATTTTTGATATAAAATTTTTACTCAAAAATAACGTTTGATTATCACGATCTACAGTCAAAGGTTAGATAATTATTGTATACTGATGAAATAAGGAAATGATAAGAAGTACAAAATAAACATTATTTTTATATAAGAGTACTTAATGGCTACGGTACATGGCCATCAGTTGAAGAGTACTTCAATTTCGCATTGGTTATACTATGTACACATTTGGACACTTGAATTTCTAATCAGTTTGTTACCGGGACGTAAAAAGGGCCCCAATTCGTGTAGGTGTATTCATGAATAAACCTGCATGAAACCAGTAATTAATATCTAAATTATTCATGAATAACAAAAACAAAAATTCATTTGACTAAAATATTAAATGCCGTGTCGAATTTTTGCATAAATTCATGCATTTAAAATCCATCTAATAAGAAAACTTTGAACTGATATTTTCTGGTTTTTTAATTAATTAATAATCTCTCTATTTTATTATTTAATAGTCTTTGAATACACGTGTTTTTGTAGTTAATAGTGTTAATAAATTAACAAAAGATGTATTAGGCATATGGTCGTGATGTTAATGGTTTTGTACCTATGCGGAATTGATGCATCGTGATGGTGTAATGAACAGGCATTGTTCGTCAGTTCGCCTGACGTCAAGTTAGTTGAAGACTTCCGAAATATTCAAGGTGCTTGAAGCTAACTAGCGTCTCGTTGCGGTTAGACTTAACCTAAGTTAATATTAGCTAAATTGTGATCTGTCAAGGTTCACGCAAAAATTCTATTAAGTAATCACTTAAATATGTTTTCTTATTAGAATCTTAATTCTAGCTGGAAATTATAGTATAGGAAATGTTTGAGTTCCTTTTAATGAACTTATAAGACAAAATATTTCTAACCTTTTCCTCCTGTATTGACTGGCCTCCGTTTTCTGACAGCGGTGTTGATGGAGCACTGTATCCTTTGGGTCCATCGTCATGCGGCGTCATCTGTCTTTGAGCTTCATTCTCCTGATCATGCTGCGCCCTCAGTTCTTGTAAACCACTTTTAAACTCAGAAAGTCTAAGCACGGACGGTTTGATTTCCGGCATCTCATCTGGATGCTCATATCTTCTCAAATCCGCTAGATTAGTTGCTAAATGCCTATGGTGGTCTAAAGGCGGAGGTACTCCTATGGACCTTAAGTGTTCTATACTTCTATGTATATGGGAATAATTGTCTACTGGTATTTCAGCCATCAATGGCGAATTGTGATAGTCTAGACCACCCCCATCCGGCCTATAATCAATTGTCCTTCCTTCCATCATCTTTGCTACTATAATTTTTATCTATCTAATTTGTAAAATCCGTCTCGCTTTTGGCACTTATAAAAATACGTCTCTTATGTTTCCTTTGATATTAATGTCATGGAATTGTTTCGAGATCTTTCGTTTTCATTGGGCTGCAAAGATAAATTCATCATTAGTTATTTTCACTTGCGTTTGTATAGTACACAATGTTGTTGCAATAAAAAAAAAATTCTGTAACATAGTTGTTTGTCTGTTTATTATAGATTTGACGCGTAAAAAAGATGGCAGGTTTTTTTTGCTAGCAGGTGACGAGTTGGCGCGTAGGTTGTGTCAATGATCTAGCCCCTAGCCCACATGCCGCTTCGAATAAGGCTTCGATAATCACATTGTACAGACGTGCCTACAACATGTGCGTTCGGTTAATGATGATTTTTATCTCTGACGAGCAATTTCTGTTTGTTTGACGTTGAAGCTGTTTTAAGATGTTTAACTCAGAAACTTTGTCTTAAACAAACTATTGCATTTATGATAATTATTGTAGCGATTATGGCTTCAAGTGTATTAGGTATATTATCTTTTAGTTTTTATACGTACAAAAATGATTTAGTATTTTTACTATTTTTATATGTCTCTGTCTGTACTCTCAGCGACTCGGATCAACATACGGCTGTCAAAGCCATAATTGCGGGCATAGAAAATAAAGCAAAAACGATTTGCGGTTTAGATCAGCACCTGCAGTTTGATTATGGTTCTTGGGAGAATGTAATAGAGGTGGTTTTAGTTGTTTTGGGATAGCATGATGATGTGTACAGCATCATGGTTGATCGAGCAACAGATTTGTATTACCTACTAGTTTGGTCCAGGGAAGTGGTTTCAAGACGGTAATTACGTTTTTGTTAACATCTCTTTACATTGTTATTATTTTATATGTATTATATAATGTTATGTGTTTTTCAAATATAAAAATAGTTTACTTTAAATTGTTGAATAAAATCCATTTCCAATTTAAACTTTTAAATAAACAATTATTTTAATTCAGCAAATTGAATAACTAAATAAACATACATTTCGTAAAAATTTGAATACATTCATTAAAAATTCACGTGGAAATGTATTTATGATCGCGCCATAAAATTGTCGCACAGCCCTATTAAGTTCAAGATTTAGAACTTTTTTTGGCCAATATCAAGTAGGTACATTTTTTGCCATAAAACGACTTGTCAAAGTTTTTTTTTCTGTCACTTAGTTTTTAATATCTATGCGTTTACTGGGCACTGGGCAGCTATTGGTGATTTCGTAGTTAGTGAAGCGTAAGATACAAGGCTGTTTGACAAGAAATACTTATCGTGGATAAAACCGTTTCTAATAAATGTTGTGTAAAAAATATTGTGAAGCCATTTATTCAATTGCGTAAATTCGGGTGACAGATTTTTTTATGTTAACAATTACGGATTTGGTAATTACGAAATAATTTTTATTTTACGCGTATTTTAATAAAATTTTGAATATTTTTTTTTTTGTTTGTTATTCTTAAATCTGTTATAATATGTAATTATTTATTAATTAGAATACAATTAAATTAGACGTCAAGTAACGCAAGCATTTTTATTAGCCAACTTCCTGCATAGTTTTATTTATTTATTTTGATAGACATTTAGGTTTTTTTTGAATAATTTATCACAGAAAGTTTGCTAGCATTTGTTTGAAAATTAATAAAAAGATTTACCTATTTAAAGAAAATGACATTTGTATACAGACGATTATTCGAAACGTATACACAATTTTATAAAAAATAAAAATATTTACTTATTTTTCATTATTCTGTAACAATTTATATTGCAACAACATTATGGACCTAATAAATTCATACAAATAAATATAAAACAAATATTGGAAGCTAGAATGCTGTTTATTTTCGAAAACATAAAATAAACTCACTGTTATTGATAAACTAAATGTTTCCAAACAAAGAAACAACGACAGGCAACAGATCGCAAATCAAGTTAATTTGAAAATATCGTCACGGTACACTGTCCAAAAATATTTCCGTATTTATAGTCCGGGCATTATTCAAGGTCGCCTTTGACAGACGGCGAGCGCCCGACTCACAATTACAACATACACCTCAACCGGGAGGGATCTTACGTAAAATTCCTCTCCCCTCGCAGGGAGAACACTCCCCCACCCACAAAGGGAGAAACAGCGATCCAGCTTCCAAATTAATTAAGAAAAAAATTACCTGTCGCTATCCAAAAATCTTCACAATCACCAACTTATATCACCATAATAAATCACAGTTTGTTCCTATCTATAATGTCACTAAAAATATATCACATAATAAAGGTAACACTAATGTCACAACACGTCCAAAAGGCAACAGTCCAAGGCTTTATCGCCAAAATTACTCAAAAAATCCACGTGCTCCTTGCAAATAAACATTTAAAAAATGCCGGGCGATTGAAAAAAAACGCCGAGCCGTGCTCTTGACCCTGCGGTAAAATTATGAATGCCGGCCGTCGTTACTAGGATCCAAATTACCAGATTTTTTGTGCTCAATATTTTAGTGTGCTATATAAGTTATTATAGTTATGGGTAATCCACACGTGATGGATCGCTCTGTCTCTCTCGCACTAGGCGATTCGCGCGTGCACTGGCCTGCAGTAGCGAGTATGAACACTCCTCAAGACGACATGTGGTCGCACAAAAAGCCGGCCTCTCCAGACGCAATGTTGCTCAGATGAAGTACTACGAGCCACCACCGGCTACTCGCATCACAAAAATGCAATACAAAACGCCCGTTCGTCCGCCTTTAGACCGACGCGGCAAAAACGAGACTGAAATTCAGATCTATAGTAGAAAAAGTGAACTACACCGCGCGAGGGGTACACTAACACATAAAAATGAAAAAAATCACACGGACGCCAACATCGACAGCGGAGCTTAAAAAATCGGAGTGGGGAGTAGTCGCTACTCTTTTGTCACATAGCCCTGTCTCGCTCTAGCGGCGTGAGGCCGAACGCACACACTGAAGCGGTGGTTAAGCGAAAAAAATGTGTACACATTTTTTTATTATTCACGATTTTTATGTGTGTAAGTGGGCTCGGTGGGAGCGGGACGACATGCGGCGGGCGTCATACAGCCTGCGTAGCGGGAGCGAGATGGAGCGCGTCGCCACGTGCTCGTCCCTTGGTATTAAATAATAATTAAAATGGCTACAAGACCGGCGATACGAGATACTGTTCGGTAGACGATTTTTTGGACGAGCTTTTGCCTTTTTTGCCGAGCTTTTTGCGGAATCGTCGAAAACGAGGTAGGACGCGTTAGACGCGTGGTTCATAGTGAAAAAACCGCGGACCGATTGACACATAATAAACGAAATACGCGCAGAAAAAGTCGCGCCGGGAAAAAAAACCAAGGACGCCTCGCGCGAAAAAGAAGTTATTGATTAAAACAGGGCTGTCATTGACCAGACGTAAATGAGGGTGGTTAATTGTATGCAGTGGATCCGGCAGGAATCGATTACTCAACGCCTTAAAGAAATAATTTTAAATTTAAAACGGTGTTTGTGCAAACACAAGGCCTAACGACGACGGCCATAATGAATCAGGGGATGTGGTCGAGATGTAATGAGAATTTAATTAAATAATTTAAATAAAAAATTAAATTGAGTTAAAAAAATTACAATTAAAATTTATAACAATTTAATTTTGTAAAAAAATAATGCAAAACAATCGAAAAATTAATCTTTTTTTTTCGAATAAACAGATAAAAAAATTAAGTAAAAAAAAACAGATTTAAAAATATTTTTTTTTCGTTACAAAATCACCCTTATCATGCATGGGCATACAAAAATAGGGTCCTATTATATAGAAAAATAATCCCTTGCATCTGGACAATGTCTTTGTTGGCCATTGGGCAGTGGGGCCATCACATCCATTGCAATGTTAATATATGCATGAAATAATTAAACATGGTCAAAGTGATACAAGCAGATGTGCAGTGAGCATCAGATCATCCTACTCCAACTTGTCAATTTATTTCGTTGTATTTTCGACTTTGAAACCAAAATGATAAAGTTGGAAATGTTATTAAAAAAAATGATAGAACGCTGTAGCTTGACATGCTGGTCACGGGACCTATACAAGCATTCAATGGAATATTATCTAAGTGTTTATAAAATTGTATTGGACTATTTTAATTGATAAAATTTTGTGTTATTCTTTAGACTAAATTATCCAGATATGGGTATATCATAATCCCCTATATGTAGGTATGTATACGACAATGGTTAAGAACTTAAATATGACTATTTTCTCATAGTGGAGTTAAGATGTTAAAAATAAGTTAATATTAATTTTAAGTATGTCTCATATCTCATAGTAATAGGCAGCGAGTACCTAAATGGTGAGTTCGTGAAATATTGCAAATATTATTTTTCAAATTTATTCGTAGTTTTTTTTTAAAGGTAGTTAATTTTTCATCTTTCATTAAATATGTGTAAATGAAGAAGCTAAGTTAGTCCTTCATTTAATTTAAATTTTCCGCGTATTTTGGTATAGACTTTATACGTCAGTATAATCTGTGGTGACAGCTTTGTATCGTTATCGTTGTGTATCGTCTCGAGATTTTAGAATAAGCATGAAAGGTATTTGTGGAAATTATTTTAAAATAAGTATACAAAGGATTGTTTGAAGCAATAGCTCTTAATGTTGTTTCTTTTACAGAGCAACAACATAAGTAATTTGTTTCAATAACCAACCTATTACATATTATGTAATAGTATTTTTAATAAAAATTTAATTTGGTAAAATAAAAACGTAACCACATTTCTAATTTAAACTTTTGATTTCCTAGACATTAAAAAAAAAATAATAAAAGCAAAAAAAAATCATAAATAATTTTAGCTGTCGAAAACATGAATTACTCAGTTACCTTCTCCACTTCCTATATGTTATTAGTAATAATATTAAATTTAAAAAACATACATTAATTACATACTAGACATGTCAATAACTTTGCTAAATCATTACAAAAAAGTTCAGTTTCAATGAAGGTTCTAATTATATTACCAGTATTTTGAAAGTATGAAGATACGTACTTATTGCGTGTATACGAAATAAGTACGTGTGTACCTTAGATTTTAAAGCACATGAAAATACCACAGTAGACATCTTTTTTATATAAATATTATGCAAAAAAATATTTTTGCTCTACTAAAGCAGCTCAAAGCAACCGAAGTATTGTTAAAATGCAGTTCAAAAACTTAAAAACAAATGACTGGAAACAATAAAAATCGTAAAATAATTACAAACAATACACATTTCTGAACTTATTTTTACGTCATTTACCGACAATGGAACGACAAAAAACGTGTTCAAACATTTTTTATTGTTTTACGACCAAATTTTTTAATTACGCAACTCGTAAAAACTTGACTTTGTTTCTCGCTTTTTAAAACTTTCGTTTTTTAAAACAAAATTTTAAAAACGGTGACGTCATTTTGTGACGGAGCTTGTAAAATAAATGATTCGTTGACAGTCTCAAAATTTGAAGGAATCGCAACATTTTTTTGTTATTTTTTTATTATTTTTGAGTTATGAAAAAGTTTCCGGTTTAAAAATATAGCACTGTTTACCTATTTATTTTGTATTCATATTAAGTATTCAAACAAAAAATGTGTAATAAAAAGTTCTGGTAGGAAATGAAGAAGATGGTGCTCCATCCATCCAGAGGTAAACAGAAAAACAAGATGGTAGAAAGAAGCCAAAATAATAGAGCATTTTTTTTTAAGGTGGGAAAATCATCGAATGACTGCCCCCGCCTGGGTGAGGCGGGAGGGAGTGTCAGACTCTTACTGACTAAAAATCACCCCGTTCCTTCTCCTGCACGTCGAGTCGGAGCGGTTACCCGTTAGGTTCTCCGCGACAAAATAATAGAGCATAGAGTGGTGTTTCCCTCTCACTTCGAGAGTTCGAATTGACTTCTTGCAGAATAGCCTGCAGCTAGGCTACGACATCCGCGGGAACAGCCGAGGTAGTGACAATAATGAATTTCTCTCCATATTGTCACTATACAACAAACTCAAATACAAACATATTCCTATAGCAAAGAGCCACAATAAAACCATTGAGGTGATGTGGGACGCAATATTTCACATCCAGTAATATTTTTCGCTCGAAAAAAAATATTGAAGCTAAAAATTTGTATTTCACATTCCGATTTTGAATTTCACCTCCGTTTTACGTCCTCGTCTCTCTACACTTTTGTTTTCGTTTTCATTCTGTTTTTTTTTTCATTGATTTTATTCAATTTATTTATGTGTGACCTTGATTTTTTTCAGGGTTTTTTTATGTTGTTGTATCTTTTTTTTGTTTGTTATAGTTTTTTATTAAAGGGTTAGTGATTACCTTGCTATTGGACTTGTTCTAGGCTCGACTGCTGGGTAACAACGTCTTGAATTTGGTGCTAAAGTCGGGTAAGAATTATTAACTTTTTTTTTGGTTGTGCAAAGAATGACTATTTTTAGATTAATTTTCAGTGGCACTGAATAGTACAGAATGACGGAACGTGTGTTGCTTTAGTATATGGTAATAGATTTCAACTTTTTTATTGAATATGGCGGTAAACGAGCTGATCACCTGATGGTAAGCAATGAACACCGCCCATGGAGACTTCGCAACACTAGAGGAGTTATACAAGAGCGTTGGAGGTTAGGAGTATGGGAAGAGGTAGGGGCGGTTTGAATCTCCTGTGACCAAATCGTCAAAGGCCAGTAAAAGCTGTAATGGTCTTCTCAAATCAGCTGGAGGTAACACATGATCCTCAGTTTGTAACAGAAACTAAGGCTTGGAGTGATATCGGTTTACCTTTGACACCAAGACATACCTACATCTCAATCTGATATGCTTAATGATATTTTTTTGTATATATATGTATGAATAAATAAAAAAAGTATTAATATAATATCGTAGCTGGAGACGTGAACGCCTGAAACCTTTGGGGAGCAGTGCCTTGGAGAACTCTTGTGACCTCATTCACATTGTAAGTATTTACCACTTAATTTAATACCTGATCTAGTAAAAGTAGGTGTTGCATTGATATGTGCCCCTATACCCCTGTCAATGTGTTCCGGGTCAATGAATAAGAGATATTTTTTACAATTTTATATTTGAAATCACCTGTTATAGTGACAGGAAGGAAGCCGATCGAATCTTTTCTATTCTCTTTTGATCTTTCTTTTATTTTGATTCAAATATCGTGAGTCTATAACAAGTGATTTTGTATTGAAATTGTTATGGTAATTTATTGGAATAGTGTTGTTTTTTTTTTAGTCTGATTTTTTATTTTTTGGTGTGTGGTATTTTTTCTGGAGTTTTTGTTTCTGGGGAGAACTTTTTTTGTTTAAAGATCTTTGTTGATATTGTTTTGGATTAGGTTTGTTAGTCGAGTGGTGACAAGGTTAGTATGGAGTTATGGGTTGGAGTCCCGGGTTGGGTAAAGTGAGTGTGGTCATTTTTGCCAATGTCTATGTACTTACACCTTTACATTTTGAATTGTTTTGGATTTTCTCATCTTTGTTTAGTAGGCTTTTGTATTACATGGATGACGTGGATACAGCTTTCTTAAACAAAATGTCACTATTTACTTTGAAAGGCCAGAAAGTTTTGAGATAGTAAATGACAAAAGGGATGTATGCAACAAAACAATATAGTGCGAACCCAAATAAATAGAGATAACAGAATGTACCGAGTTCTTTTCTTAGTACAAGGGACAGTCAGTACTTTGACTGTAAAATCTTTTATTGTAGTCCTTATTTGTTCTATGGTAAGAACAATAACTGGTATATAGAAG